ATCATGACCTCAGCCAAAGTCGGACGCTCAATCAACTGAGCCACCCAGGCGCTCCCACACTTAAATTTTTTAATGCATCGATTTTAAGTGTAATGTCCAATGAGTTTTGACAAATATATACGGTGTGTGACCACCTCCACATCCAAGAAACAGAACAGTTCTGGGGCACCTGGGTGGCTCAGCGGGTTGGGCATCCAACTCTTGATTTCGGCTCAGGTTATGGTCCCAGGATCATGGGATCGAGCCCTGCATCAGACCCCGTGCTGAGCGTGGAGCCTACTTGGGACTCTCTCCCTCTGCCCCTCTCCCCCACTTGTGTTCCCTCACTTGCTATAATAATAATAATAATAATAATAATAATAATAATAATAATAAAAGAAACAGAACAGTTCTGTGATCCCAAAACGTTCCTTTGTGTCTATGTGTAATCAGTGCCCCATCCCTTAGCCTCAGGCAACTCTGATCGATTTCTATCCCTATAGATTAGTGCTCCCTTGTCTGCAGTTTCACATAAATGGAGTCATACTGTTTGTACTCTTTTGCGTCTGGCTTTTTTCACAAGACATACTGTTTTTGAGATTTATCTGCTACACGTACCAGTAGGTAGTTCTTTCCATTGCTGAGTAGTCTTCCATCCTGTGGACATAAAATTTGTTTATCCATTCCTGCAGATAGACATTTCTATCGTTTCCAGTGTTCCAGATTGGGGCTACCATGAATCAGGTCGCTGTGAATGTTTGTGGGACACAGGCTTTTACTTCTCATGGATAAATAGGAGTGAGACTGCTGAGTCACATGGTAAGTTTGTGTTAACCTTATAAGAAACTGATAAACTGCTTCTCGAGGGCGTTGTAGTGGGGTGAGTGCTGGCCCCCAAAAGACACGCCGGTGTCCTAATCCCCCAGATGAACGTGACCTTATTTGAAAAAGGGATTTTTGCAGATGTAATTAAGTCAAGGGTCTTCAGATAAGATCTTCCTGAATTAAGAGTGATCCCTAGAGGCACCTGGGCCTGGGTGGCTCAGTCGGTTGAGCGTCCGACTTTGGCTCAGGTCATGATCTCACGATCTGTGAGTTCGAGCCCCGCATTGGGCTCTGTGCTGACAGCTCAGAGCCTGGGGCCTGTTTCAGATTCTGTGTCTCCCTCTCTGCCCCTTTCCTGCTTGTGCTCACTCTCTCTTTCTCTCAAAAATGAATAAGTATTTAAAAAACCTAAAAAAAGAGTGATCCCTAAGTCCAACGATTGGTGTCCTCATAAGAGAAGAGCAGAAGGGCACCGGGCAGCTCAGTCAGTTAAGCCTCCGACGTTGGCGTGGCTCACAGTTCATGAGTTCGAGCCTCTGCCTGGGGCTCTCTATTGCCAGTGCAGAGCCTGCTTTGGATCCTCTGTCTCCCTCTCTCTGCTCTTTCTCCATGCTCTCTGTCTCTCAGAAATAAATAAACATTAAAAGAGAGAGAAGGGAAGGGGGGGGAAAGACACAGGAACAATTAAAAATAAGTTATACCTTTTCAAAGCAAACTGGTGAAAAAAATGTCCTGTTTACATTTTCCTGCACTGAAATATCTTGCTGCCTTCTGGAACAGCTGATACTTAAATATTAAGTCAGTCGATGTTTATTTGTTTTAATGTCTATTTTTTTTTGAGAGACACACACACACACACACACACACACACACACAGAGTGTGAGTAGGGGCGGGGGCAGAGAGAGAGGGAGACACAGAATTTAAAACAGGCTCCTGACTCTGAGCCGTCAGCACAGAGCCTAACGTGGGGCTTGAACTCACAAGATCTGAGATCCTCACCTGAGCCAAAGTCAGAAGCTTCACTGACTGAGCCACCCGGGCACCCTAAAGTCAGTCAATGTTAAAACGATTATGGAGACGCCTGGGTAGCTTAGTTGGTTGAGTGCCCAACTCTCGATTTTGGCTCAGGTCATGATCCCAGGGTTGTGGAATCGAACCCTGAGTTGGGCTCCACGCTGAACATGGAGCCTACTTAAAATTCTCTCTCCCTCTGTTCCTCTCCCCGTTCATGCTCTCTCTCAAATAAGAAAAAATTAAATATTATAAAATAATAAAATAAAATGAAGGTTCCTAATGCACAAATATCTTCTAATAATATATGATAATTACTAGCAAGTATAATCATCATTATCAATATTAATAGCTAACATTCAGGTCACACCCAATGTGTGTTAAATGTTTCATGTACAGCCTTTCATTTAATCTGTGTAACATTTTTTTACTGTTTATTTTTGAGAGAGCACGAGTGGGAGGGGGCAGAGAGAGAGTGAGACAGAGGATGTGCTGAGCTGACAGCAGAGAGCCTGATGGGGGGCTCGAACTCACTAACGGTGAGATAATGGCCTGTGCTGAAGTCAGAGGCCCAACCTAGCCACCAATCCATCCAACATTCTTGTGAAGTAGGCATTATCATTTTCTGCATCTTACAGTTACAGACACTGAGGCATTGAGAGGTTATACACTTTGCCCAAAGGCACGGAGCTAATGGGTGTGGAGGAGGATTTTGAAGCGAAGTTGTCTGACTTCAGAGCTGACCTGGGTAGCAGGTAAACTCTTGTGGAAAGTAGTGGCATCATCACAGACTGCAAGAAAAGTAAACAGATTGCCCAAGAAACCAGTAGAGTGTGACATTAACTAAAAGCATAAGTTTCTTTGGGGGCGGCTGGGTGGCTCAGTCAGTTGGGTCCAACTTTGGCTCAGGTCATGATCTCATGGTTCACGGGTTCGAGCCCCGCATCAGGCTCTGTGCTGACAGCTCAGAGCCTGGAGCCTGTTTCAGATTCTGCGTCTCCCTCTCTGACCTTCCCCCACTCACACCCTGTCTCTCAAAAGATGAATAAATGTTAAAAAAAAATTTTTTTTAAAGAGTAAGTTTCTTTGGCATGATGGACTGTCTCCTTAGGGGAATTTTCTGAATATTTTTAAAGTTAAAATTAGCTTGCAATTCTTGTGGATGCTAATAGGCTGCCCTATTTACCTTTAGGATGAACTTTACAAATGCGATTACATCTTTATAACCTTGACATTTAGTGCTGCTCACTCCTTGAAAAAAGAGAGTAAAATGTAGGGGTTTTTTTCTTTTCTCCAGAAAAACTAGTTGGAGTTCAATGAAAAAAATCAGTGCCATATGTTCTCTAAAACAAACAGAGACAGAAGGGCGCCTGGGTGGATCAGTCGGTTAAGTGTCCACCTCTTGATCTCAGCTTAGGTCATGATCTCACAGTTTGTGAGTTTGAGCCCCCATGTCAGGCTCTGCGCTGATGGTACGTAGCCTGCTTGGGACTCTCCCTCTCTCTCTTTCTGCTCCTCCCCTGCTTGTTCTCTCTCTCTCTCTCTCAAAATAAATAAGCTTTTAAAAAAACCCAAACTGGGGCACCTGGGTGGCTTAGTCAGTTAAGCGTCTGACTTTCGCTTAGGTCATGATCTGGCGGTTCGTGTGTTCGAGCCCCGCGTCGGGCTCCGTGCTGACTGCCAGCTCAGAGCCTGGAGCCTGTTTCAGAGTCTGTATCTCCCTCTCTCTCTGACCCTCCCCTGCTCATGCTGTCTCTCTCTCTCTCTCCTAGAAATAAATAAAAATATTAAAAAAAAAAAAACCCAAACAAACAGAGAGAAAGGCAGAGGCAGATTTGAGACCCAGAGACACTCAGGGCACAAGGCAAAGATGGAGGCAGAGATGGGAATCTGCAAGTCAAGGGGACGCCAAGGATTTTAGCAGCTTCCAGGAGCTCAGAGAGAGGCATGGGGCAAGGTCCCAGAGCCCGGGGAGAAGCCAACTCCGCAGACAGCTTGGCTTCAGACTTCTGGTCTCTAGAACTTCAAAAGAATAGTTTCTGGCCAGATAGGAATCACCAGGGAGCCCTAGCAAATGAACGCAGTGGTTGTAGCATTTTTTGTCCACTAACTTTTTGAAATGGCGTTATGTGAGCAAGTGGGTGTGAATTAATGCCAAGTGGCCAAGGGCAGAATGTAGTCCCCTGCTCCTTTGAAGAACTGGATCCTGCCCACTCCCATGTCATTCTTTTGGGGCTGTTGATCAAGGGATCCGTGTTCTCTCTGAAGAACCTCATGGGGGCGCCTGAGGGGCTCAGTTGGTTAAGCGTCGGACTCTTGGTTTCCACTCAGGTCATGATCTTGCGGTTTCGTGAGCTCGAGCCTCGCGCCAGGCTCTGCGCTGACAGCAGAGAGACTGCTTGGGATTTTGTGTCCCTCTCTCCTTGTCCCCCCCACTCATGCTCGTGCGCGCTCTCTCTCTCTCTCTCAACATAAATAATTACACTTAAAAAAAAAGAGAGAGAGAGAATCTTATGATCGCAGGAGATGGATTCCCAGCTGGGCAGGAAGGGATGAGGTCCTGAGAGGGTCTGAGCCAATCCCAGCAAGATGGGCAGGGGAGGGGGCCTCAGTCACAGGAGAGGGTGCCAACAGCAAGCTTGCCAGCCGGATTCATGATTGGTCTGAAGTGGTCATCCAAGGCCCTAACAAGACCAATCCGAATCCTTTTCCTCGATGGTACGGAAGCGGGGGGCGGGGAGCCAATTCTGCCTTCTCTGAAATGATCTGCTCTGAGGGCGATTGCAGTAGGTCCTGTTAACTTCCTGCCCAGCGATCATTCATTCCTCTCTCTGTGCTGCCTTGCTAAAAAAAAAAACCCCACATAGATAGGTTTCCCAGACTGCTTTGCGACCCGGGGTGGCCACTGCACCCAGTTCTGGCAAGTGCGAAATAAGGAGAACACTTCTGGCGAGAAACACACAAGGGGAGGGACCTGTCACACTTCCTGCTTTATTTTTTTTTAATTTTTTAAAGTTTATTTATCTATTTTGAGAGAGACAGAGACAGCATGAGTGGGGGAGGGGCGGAGAGAGAAAGGGAGAGAAAGAGAATCCCAAGCAGGCTCCATGCTGCCAGTGCAGAGCCTGGTGTGGGGCTCAAACTCAGGAACCAGGAGATTGTGACCTGAGCCGGAACCAGGAGTCAGATGCTTAACAGACTGAGCCACCCAGGCGCCCCCACATTTTCTGCTTTAGATGCCACCGTGTGAGAACATAATGCTTGGTACTGTTGCACTTTGTACTCATGAAGGGAAGGCAGAATGAATCTCGGCGACGCCAACCCTGTGCCCGACGCTGTTGAGCAGCTGAACTAACAGCGGGACTGCGTGTCTTTGAAAGATTTGTTATGTGAGCAAAAGGAATCTCTTCTCATTTCAGCCCTTTCTGTTGGAATTCTGTTTTAGGCAGCTGACGCCATCGTAACAGACACAGCATTTTAAGCTTGGAGCCCCAGAGACTTGCCTGAGAATGAAGTCATAAGGAGCAATGCAGAGTCGCTTGAACACCTTGATCCGACCATGCCTGAAGTCCTCCTTTGGCTCACACTCACCATGTACAAAGGTCTTTCAGTTCTGCTTGTGGTTTACGGTGGTTTGGGTTGCATTTTGTGTCTTATAATCATAAGGGTCCTGGCAAACGTAACATTTACAAACTAAATGTAAGGGACCAATTCAGTGGCCAGAGGTCACTCGGCCAGTGAATAAAACTCTTGTCTGAACCCAGAGCCAGGATGTTCCCACCCAGCTTCCCGGGCCCAGAGAGGACAGGAGCCCCAGGTGGAGTGAGACCCACGGTGTGTGTTTATTCTGGTGATGGTAGCAGCAGCAGTGGGGGGATCGGCCAGGCGTAGGGTGCGGTGAACAGAAAGGGCAGACGTGGGGGGGGGTGTCTGGGGGCATACGGAGGATCGGTCTGTTGACATTCACGGCGAGGACGAGGGTCAGGACACCGAGGCTTGGACAAACAGCAAAGAGACAGACAGAAAGACGAAGGGTTTGGGGGGCTGGGGTCCCCCAGACATGCATGGCCCCTTGCCTGGAAGAAGCCCTGGGGAAGGGAAGACAGACACAGTGGAGACTGAATGCCCCCCCCGCAACCCTGAAACAGGGAGCTGGGCCCGCCTGCCTCCCACCCTCGCACCTAGCGGGGTCGAAGGAAGGGCAGGCCCAGCCTGCCCCGCACCACGCGGCTCGGACGTTATGGCTTCGAGATGAATTCACTGTCCGGGCAGGAAGGGATGAGGTCCTACGGAGCCTGGTCCGATCCTGAGCCTAGGCCAGACCTGCAGGACACGACAGGGGGACGTGGGTGACCGCAGACAGGCTCGTGACCCGCTGTGGCTCCACGACACCCCCCAGGGACCCAGGACTCCTGCTCCCCGGCCCCTCCTCCCTCGGACCCAGGAGTCCGGGACCCCAACCTCCTTCCTCCCCTGGTCTGGGGTCCTTACCCCTCACTCTGAGTTCTCTTTCTCTGATAATCCTTTGCTGCCTTTTGTGAAGCTGGACAAAGTCTTTTCCTGAAATGAGGAAATCCAGAAGGTTCAGATATGGGGGCAGAGGTAAGATAATCGCTCATAAGCAACGTAATAAGACATCAAGCCTGTATCCATCATTTATGACGCCCTTTTCCACTCAGCTCTGCAGCGGTATTGCAGTCCTATTCTATCGATGGGGAAACCGAGGCACAAAGAAAAAGTCGTTGGAAATCTGAGGAGAGATGAGGCCGCAGGGGTGAAGGGTGATGGGGCAGACCCTCTGAGGGGCCTCAGAGAAGCTGCGACTCTGTCTTGGAGCCTCTAGGGAACCAGGGAGGGCTGTGAGCAGGGGAGGGGCAGTGCGGGGAGGTACGGGCACGCTACTGGCTGAAAGTCAGGGTCAGGCACGCACTCAGCCTGGATTCCACCCCTCTCTGGAGAAGTGTGTGGAATGAGAGCGCGTAAATTAGAAGAGTGAGCGGTGGACGGAGGAGGAGCTACCACCTGCCTCTCTAAATAGAGCTGCGGTCTTTTCAAAACTCACACGAGCCCTGCGCTGCACCGCTTAAATCCCTCCTCACCCCTGGAAGAAAAGTCCAAGGCAAGGCCACAGTCAGGCCAGGAGGAGTCCGCCCACCCTGGGTGCAAGCTTTCGGCTCTGCCCAAACTCGGCAATCATGAGAACTATTATTGCAATGCGATCGTCTGAAAACTCAAAATTAATCCAAGAACAAAAAATCCACCATGCGCCGATTATCAGTTTTTAAACAGAGGCCGTCCCCGCGTCGTAGCAGAGCCTGAGACAAAAGGAAAAATTGCAGGCCTTCTTTTTACATCTTTTTTATGGTTAATTTCTCCCCCCCTGGAAAGTTAAAATAGTTTTTACCATGTGGAAAACAATGAAGAGTAAGGATATCGCAATTCACATCGCTTTGTTTATTTATTTTTAAGTTTATTTTTGAGAGAGAGGGAGAGCAGGAGCAGGGGAGGGGCACAGAAGGAGGCAAAGAGAGAGAATCCCCAGCAAGCTCCTGGCGCCGGGCTCAAACCCATGAACCATGAGATCAAGACCTGAGCTGAAGTCAGATGCTCAACCGGCTGAGCCACCCAGGGGGCCCACAATCCACATTACTTTAAACGTTTATTTATACTCTAAACAGAATTTAGTATAATTTTACTGTCTTGGCTTTCATGACAGCGAATTCGTGGATAATATTTTCAAAACCTATTGCTTTGCTTTTTGTTGCTGTTGTTTCAAAGGAGAGTATGGCCGTGTTTCTAAATTTCTCTTGACCATGTGATGATTGTAAATGATAAAAAAAAAAAAAAAATCGTCGGGGCGCCTGGGTGGCTCAGTCGGTTAACCATCCGACTTCGGCTCAGGTCATGATCTCACAGATCGTGGGTTCGAGCCCCGCGTCGGGCTCTGTGCTGACAGCTCAGAGCCTCGAGCCTGTTTCAGATTCTGTGTCTCCCTCTCTCTCTGACCCTCCCCTGCTCACGCTGTCTCTCTCTCTCTCAAAAATATTTTTAAAAATATTTTTAAGAAATCGTCAAGCTCTGTGCTCCTGGGTGGCACAGCGGGTTAAGTGTCTGACTTCGCTCGGGTCATGATCTCACGGTTTGTGGGTTCGAGCCCCGTGTCGGGCTCTCTGCTGTCAGCATGGAGCCTGCCTTGGATCCTCTGTCCCCCTCTTTCTCTGCCCCTTCCCTGCTTGTTCTCTCTCTCTTCTCTCTCTCTCTCTCAAAATAAATAAATAAACTTAAAAAAAAATGGTCAAGCTGGTTCTCACATTCTCGTATTATCTGCCCTGTCAGGGGCCTGCACCAGCCTCTTCCTGCTTAGGGGACTGCCCCGCTGTGCTCTCCCCCTGCAAGTTTCTCCTAACCTTCAAACCTTTACCTAAACCCCTTCCTTCTCAATCTCCAGGCCTCTGCTCAAATGTCACCTCCACTGAGAGGCCCTTCAGGACCCTGTAAGCCAAAGGGCAGCTCCCACACTCCATCCAGATGTCCTCTATCTCCAAAGGACTTCCACACTTTTGGGGCACACTCCACAGGGCCACAAAGATTTGACAGTACACTCCTTACAATGGGTGCTGGTTTGTGAAATTGTTCTGTTCCATTTTGACTTTCTTTTCTTTTTAATTTTTTAAAAAAATGTTTATTTTTAAGACAGAGCACGAATCGGAGAGAGGCAGAGAGAGAGGAAGACACAGAATCCGAAGCAGGCTCCAGGCTCTGAGCTCTCAGCACAGAGCCCCACGTGGGGCTCAAACCCACGAACCATGAGATCATGACCTAAGCCAAGTAGGAAGCCTAACTGACTGAGCCACCCAGGGTCCCCAAGACTTTATTTTCTTATTAAAAAAAATTGTTGGGGCGCCTGGGTGGCTCATTTGGTTAAGTCCGACTCTTGATTTTGGCTCAGGTCATGATCTCAGGGTCCTGAGATCAAGCCCTGTAGCCGGCTCTGCACTGAGCATGGAGCCTGCTTAAGATTCTCTTTCTCCCCCGCCTCTCCTCTCTCAAAAATAAATAAAATAGTTTAAAAAGGAAGGAAGGAAGGAAGGAAGGAAGGAAGGAAGGAAGGAAGGAAGGAAGGAAGGAAGGAAGGAAAAAAGAAAGAAAAGGAAGGAAGGAAAGGAAGGAAGGAAGGAAGGAAGGAAGGAAAGGAAGGAAGGAGGGAAGGAAGGAAGGAAGGAA